GTGTTATGCTTTGTTAATATGATCACATTATTTAATTACTGATTTGAATACATACATATTTTACTACAGAGTCTACATGTTTTTGAAGCAGCATTTACTTTAATTTACTATGCTGTAACAGGTATAGAATTTGTATCTTGATAAAAATATATTTATTAAACTAATTACAGTTGTTAATTTCTTATTGTGTTTTTAAAACAGTGGGAATTAGATGGTATTTTTGGATTTTAAAAAAAAAGACCGCATGACTGATAGTTATGTTTCCTTTAAACTCAAGGTGCACCTCCCTGAGAGATGAGGAAGCGACAGTCTGCATACAAATAAGCCAAATCTGTAAAATGGATATGCATGCAAAATTCACATTTTAGAACAAGAGTAATGTCCAAAAGTGGACAAAGAGCTGGAACTTTCCGCAGGTGAACACAAAGAAGAAGATAGTTTTCAGCTAAATTAAGGTTGATTATTGAGGCTATAGTTTAGTTGTTGTTTGTCCATCACAGCGGCGTCCGTGGCTAAGGCGTTGCGAGTCCGACTCGTGAGCCAGCATACCGCGATCGAAACCCACCGCAGGCTGCGTGGACTTTTGTCGTGGTATGGGACGTCGCAGGTCGACCCAGCCTAAAATGGGTACCAGGATGGGCTGTCCTGGGAAAGTAAAGACAGCCAACCACATTACCCACAGAGTGCTGATGGTCTGTAAAAATATGGGACGCTCTGCCCATATGCCCGATGCGCCGAAAGGGATCTTTACTTTTTTTTTACTTGTCCATCACGATGAAGACCACTTTCATCCAAAGTAGCAATGATCGATGATTGTGAGTATGAAGGTGGCTGATTAGTCCAAAATGAGCCAGGAAAGTTCTTGAGCCGTGCGGACACCACATGGAAGCCACAGTAAGTGTGGGATTAACTGTAGCCTGCCTCCGTTTCTCGGCCTGTGCAACCTCCGCTGCCTGGCAGGCCGATGCACCATGTCTGAGGGACGTACGCCATCTACAACTGTCTTGTGCAGCAGCCTCCAACATCGCTGTGTTGGTGCCACAAGAATTGAGAGCAGTCTTCTGAGTGTCCTTATAGCATAGTTCAGTTACTAGACCTCGCCCGCCAACTCAAAGGTCTTGGGTTCAAATCCAAGCCAGGTGGAGATTATTTTTTTTTTCAAACCACTTCAGCTTCTAGGTGGACCTAGTCTGAAAAGAATGCCAGGTAAATGACCTGGGGAGCAAATGTAGTGGGTGAGTTATTAACCATATCATGAAACTAGGGCCAGTTGGTCTATGAAAATATGCAGTGCCTCACTGGCGTGAAAAATACTTTACACTGCTTCTTCTTCTTCGCTTTCACCAGCTGGACACTCTGGCGGAAAGTTCTGGTTGCTCGTCCACTACTGAACTGCAGTCCTGCTCCAGAACCTGAGTGTTGCGTGTGCATCAGTTTTACAGATCTCATTCTCTTGAACACAGACTGTTGGTTCCTTGCCTCTCCGGCAGATGCACTCCGACTTCAAAGGAAGCTACCCAATTAGTCGACTCTTACGACATGCTTTTGGGGAGGCAGTGGGTCTATTCTTGTTCTCCCTACAATGGGGCTCCGGAACCCACACGGGCATTTACACTGCTGAATAGCATGGAGTACATACAGCAGGGCTATCAACTTGTGGGGTGGCCCGCGAAGGCCTAACAAGTGGCATGCAGACCAATGCCAGTTGTACTGCATTAATGATATTCCTAACCTACGCTTGTCTGTGTGTCACCGGAGCCCTCAGGGAAAGCAAAGAATAGTAACACTGCACCCTACCAGTCATGTTGTAAGAGGCGACTAAGGGTCGGGTTGGGCTTTGAGGTTGGCTACCTCATCCTGTTAAAACAGTAGCCGCAAAAAGCAATCAACCATGGGAAAAACAAATAGAGAAGAGCTTAGGGAGAGAACTAAAGTTCCACTGGACCGAGAGGTGAAGAAAAGATGCTGGCTTTGGAAAGGATACAGGTTGTGAAAACCTGTTTACAATATAACAAGAATGCCTTTGCACTGGAACCCACAGGGGCATAGAAATAAAGGAAGACCACAAAAAAAATTACTTGGAGAAAGGAGCTAAAGAGTGAAGTTAATAAAAGAAAGTGAGGACATGGGGAGAGCTGCGTGCGACAGGAAATGACAGAACAACCTGGCGTGAGTTGGTTGAGGGCATATGCTCCACTGGGGGCTAGAAAGGCAGAAGAAGACTCTCAGGCTCGGGACTTTAGCCTGTGAAGATCTCTACTGTCAAACATGATGTTGGCACCTGAGTAAACAGCTGAACAGCCCTGAAGTAGAGCGGTAGTTAGTAAAATATGAAGAAAAGACGCTGGTGTTGGATAGACACACGATGAGAAAAAGAAAAATATAACTACAACGTCTTTGCACTGGAACCCTCAAAAGCATGGACATAAAAGAAGACCCCCCCCCCCCCCCCCCCCTTCCCAAAAAAAACTTGAAAAATGGAGCTAGAGAGAAGTTTAAAAAGATGGAGATGACATGATGAGAGCTGCATGCGACAGCGAAGGACAGATTGACCTGGTTTGAGATGGTTAAGGGCCTATGCTCCATTGGGGGTTAGAGAGGCAGAAGGATCACTGGTGAAGAACCACATGTATCTATGTCAGACCACAACCGGCTCCAGCTGACGGGTCATGCTGCTGACGTCACCGGGACGGGCTTACAAGCCTTAACGCAGCGGTTCTCAAACTGGTTGCCGAGGCAATAATCAAGAAATGTCGGCTAAACATTATGAATGCCCGGCTCGCTAGCATAGTTGGCTAGACCGGATTGCGCAGCGACCGGGTGACGAACTCCTTGTGGTCCGGATTCACTCCCGGGGGTAGGCAGAAAAGCCACATTTCTCCCAGATTTACGATATTTATCATGGAATCAAGGCCGAAGGGTTGCGATATCCATAATACCGAGCCTAGGGGTTAACAACTCATGGCTTCTGGATACTTAAAAAAAAAAAAAGTGAATTATTAAAGAAGGCACTTCCTTGCCACTGTCAAAAATAGTTCATTTCTTCTTTTATTTGATTTGATTCAAGAACCGGCATCACAACACTCAGGGGATTCCCAAAATCGCTCCGTCCCCATCTTTAGCAGCCAGCAAAGAGTTTCGATACTAATGGTGCCAGTAGCATTCTGATTAAACGCCCATCTTGCCTTTCCTCTGAGCCTCGAGCATCTCCCAAAACCTCTCGTCACTCCCCCATGCATCAATCTCGCCAGACTGTGGTGACCCATCTGCTCCTCCGAACTGTACACGCTCTCCCACAAGGCACTAACCACGTCTGCCCTGTCATGCATCAGTATTCCACCAAGTTGTGCAGAGTTAGCCAGTCTGTCCGCCTGTTCATATCCCAACAAACCGGCATACCATGGTGAGAAAATTCAGACAATACTCCACAGCGAGGCATGCCACTCTGCATGAAGCATGCTTTTTGAGTCAGTTACAATCACGATGTGTGTATGTGTCGTTTTCTCTTGTTTGAGAACCGCTGCATTAACGCATCGTTAGCCCGACCGGTGACGTCAGCAGCTGAAGCTGGTCAGACTCACACATGCTGTTCTCCCATGTTGTTTCCAAAACCTCTATCTGAAGGGGAAAAAAGACAGTACAGAATTGCTTCCCCCTCAACTAAACGTATTGTACCAGGGGACTTAATCAGGGAGTTTTCTGAAATCGGATGTGATGGGCTGAAATGTACGGATATTGTAGCCTAGCCACACACAACTCTCCATGTGGGTTTTGCGAATCCCATCTCAGGGGGAGGGGGGCAGAAAAAAGAATAGACTCGCTAACTCTTCAACAAACATGTCATAAAAGACGACTAGTTAGGGGTGTTTCTTTCTAAATAAAGAGGGCATCCGCCAGGGAGGCGAGGAACCAACAGTATGCAAGCAAATAAGCCAGACCTGTAAATTTTTCTTCACATTCACCGGCTGTAAACTCCAGTGGAACGTTCTGGACTTTAGTCTGTAATCCAGAACCTGACGGTTGTGTGCACATGTTTTGTTGTGACTTATCTGTATGCAGATTGCTGGTTTCTTGCCTCCCCGGTAGATGCACTCCGACTTTAAGGAAAACCCTCCAGGCAGTCAATTCTTACGACATGCTAGCTGGGGAGGCAGTGGGTCTATTCTCATTTTCCCCCACAACAGGGCCCAGGAACCCACACAGGGACCTGTAAAATTGATGTTCATAATGCAAAACTCAATTCTGGAACAAGACCACAGTTCACAAGTGGGCGGACAACTAGAACTTTCTGCCAGAGTTTACAGCCCGTAAACATAGAGAGACAAATATGAAAACTGCCCTTTTAAGAATGAACACAAAAGAAGAATGTCAAACTTCAGTTAAACAGCCTTTCAGAATCACAACCAAATCATATAGTTTTGAAACAGGCTTGTTCTGTAAAAAAAAATTTATTTACATAATTATGAGCACAAATTAACTACACTTTCTATCATCCTTTTCTTCCTTATAGTCCACATCACAGGGGAATCATTATATTATGGTCATCATAAGTGAACTCAGGTACCTCCAATCGTTTCTGTTACAAAGTTTCTTCCTGTCATGATGCCAAGACACCCAACATCATTTCTCCCTCTCCTCATCATAATTCAAACTTAAATGGTCAAGAACTGGTCACTGTGTGAGACACATCCAAACCCAGTCATTGTGTGAGACAAAAACACACTCAGTTATTGTGTGAGACACATCCAAACCCAGTCATTGTGAGAAAGACATCCACACTCAGTCACTGTGTGAGACAAAAACACACCCAGTTATTGTGTGAGACACACACATCCAGTCATTGTGTGACACACATACTCATCATGGTTGACAAACACATATCCAGTCAATACTTCCAACGTATATTCCCCTTCACACACACAAAAAGAACTAAAAGGCAAGATCAATGAAAATGTAAAATGCAATGAAATAGTAGGATAACTGAAAGATTATTGTTAAATTCATTTTCCAGCCTGCTTTCTCAACATGTGGTAGATCTTCTCCTTCAGCCAGTCTTTGTTGTGCGGGCTGTAAGTGCCAAAGGCTTTCTGGAATCTGCATTAGTTAAAAGGAAAAAAAAACACTCTTTACTGGTTGTATTAACCATGGGATGGGGAGGGGAAAGAGATTAGTCTGAGGATTTTGGGCCACTCAGCTGGTGTAGTTGCCATGCACTGTGCAGGTTAGGATTCTGTTGACTTCTGTCCCATCCAAACTGCTTTGACTCTAGCCATTGCACACTTCTCATTCACTCTCCATGTAAACTTCCCATAACTGTGGAGCTATGAGTAACTGCAACCCATACATGTACAAGAAACTCTGTATCAGTCATACACCAATATTTTCTTCTTTTTCCATAACCTTTAGCACCCCACAGTCGAGTATATTGGACTTCAGCCGCCCACCTCGTAGCGTCCCAGTCGAGTATACTCGACATCTATATATGGTTGGGGAATACGAAGCCTAAACGGAGCTACGTGTGTGACGTCACTTGAAAACTATAAATAACTATTCTAGAGTGGTTTCACTTCCTCTTTGTCTGTTTTGATTGCTAGGAGGCCGAGAGTAGGTTTGTGTGATCAATTTTTCTGAGCCAGTTCGATTTTTATTGTGGGGTGCTAAAGGATAAGGTTTACCGGCAGACAATTGTGGATATTTTCGTCCAATGCTGGATTCCAGTCTTGTTCCAGAACTTGAATTTTGCATGCAGATCCATTTGACAGATCTGGTTTACCTGCACGCACTGTTGGTTCCTCACCGCTCAAGCAAATACCCACAAATTCGAAGAAAAATCCATATTTAGGTGCCTTTTATGACATGGTTGATGGAAGAGTATTGTATCCACCCCCCCCCCCCCCCCTACATGGAGAATACACCAAAATAAGTAACAACAAAGCTACCATCAATCAACCACGCGAAACCTTCACAATGGATGTTGGCTGCATAATGAAAACAAACTTTCACCATGCCTGTACACTCTAACAGACTGTCTTGCCCGTATGTCCTTTACCGTGGCTATGTAACACAAACCTGAGCATCTGAAGCATGTGAAATACACCCATGTGAAATACATACAATGGCAACAATGGTCCTGAAAAACCACTCTCTAATTGTGGAAGATGGTTATATCTTTAATCGTGAGCAGGTCTTGCTAGTCACCCTTGCCATCACCGCAGACTGTGATTCCTATTCTCCCCTAAAGCATGATACAATACTATTGTCTGAAAGTACCCAAAGGTGCCCATAACACAGACAATAAAGAAACACAGTATAATCATAAATCTTCTTCTTTGCATTCACCAGCTGTGAATTCCGGTGGAAAGTCCTGTTTCTTCGCCCATTTGGATTTTTGGCTTTGTACCAGGCACCTGAGTTGTGCGTGTACAACCGGTTTACTGGCTTATTTGTGTGCAGTTCATGTTCCCTGCCTCTCGGGCAGATGTATTCTGACTTCAAGAGAATAATGATAAATGCTACCTTCCCTGTCAATATACTAGTTTTTTCTTCCTTTTAACCCCTATCCCTCTTCCCCTCCAAAGCATAAGTTCTTAAACTAATTCAAGTCTTGCATGCAGGTCCCCTCTTCCCCCCACTCTCCAATTCCCTTCTCTATGTGCTTTTTCTTAAGACTGTCTATATTTCTATGCCCCTGAGAGTTCTAGTGTAAAGACATTTAGCTACATTTTCCCAGACTGAATCAATGTGTGTCTTATCCAAAATCAGCATCTTTTCTTCATCTTTCGATTCACTGCAATTTGTTTAGTTCTCTTCCAAAGTTTAATCCCATCATAAAAAAATTACTTACACCAAGCAACTCAGATCTGTCAGCTGGTCAATGAATTCAAACAGCTGTGAGATATCATAGGTTATAGATGGATCATGTGGGTGCAGGCGTTTGAGATGCTCTTCAAAGATCTTGCATATTCCTGGACAAATTTGAAAAACCCATAACACTGTTCAGAGTATATGCACTAAAATGAAAATGATACAGAGAAGATTAGCATGGTCCCTGCGCCAGGATGATAAACCAATCCATGAAGCGCTTCAGGGGGATTGGAGGGGGGGGATTTCGGTTGCGAAGTGGTCAAGCCATTTGTCTTGCACTTTGAAGGTCGTGGGTTTATTTCATTGCTGCATCGTTCAATTCATCAGTGCAAGTCTTAAGGAGAACCGTGGGGATCATCACTGTCAGTATTGCTGCATCTAATCCTAAAATATTAAATCACAGAAAAAACACTAACTCACTTTTGTCTGGGAGGAAAAAAAGCTGCACACTTTCGCGTGGGAGACTATGTGTCAGCCCAGCCGAGCGAAGCCAGGATGCATTTTAGCATGTAAACATATGGTGAATGAAGGCACGTCATGACACCCCTAGAGTACAGGGACTGTCCCAGTGAATTCCCTATACAATCTTGCATCCATCGAGATGGGGTGAAAAAGCTGAATAGTACCCACAAACCACAGGGAACTTTATTTTTTTAAAACCGCCCACTGTGAGAATTTAAACCCAGCACTTAAGGATCAATTACCTTGGCTCCCAGGTCAACAACCAAATAAAGTAAAGGTGGCCGGCGTGATAGTGACTATATCACCCATCAAGTGCTGACCGGTCTATAAAATAAACAAGGTTTGTGTTTTAAAAGTGTACCAGGCATAGGCTGTACTTTATTCCTGCGCACACATGTGGGTATATGCAAGCAGATATAGTGTTTTTACATCTTTTCTAGACTTGGTGGCAGAGGGAAGAAAATTAAAGGTCTGCAACCAAGTCACGCCACGTCGTTATAACATTCGCTTTCAGCTCTCCCCATCTTTTTAACTTCACTCTCTAGTACCCTTCTCCGTGTGTTTTTTGGTCTTCCGTTATTTCTATCTCCCTGTGGGTTCCACTGCAAAGACATTCTAGCTGTATTATTCTCAGGTTTCCTCAACGTGTGTCCTATCCAACAGCACATCTTTTGTTCACCTCTTGGTCCACTGAACTTATTTAGTTCTCCTCCAAAGTTCTACATTAGTGATTCTATTATACCATTTTAATTCCTTTGTTCTGCGCAGTCACCAGCTAATGAATAGTTTAAATTTATTACGAACTGGTAGAACAACTGATCACATCTATTCTGTGCTGATTCCCCTCTACCAAGCCATGTATTTAGAGGCCAGCAGATTTTGTTACATGACAGTACCATTGCATGTTCAGTCTTTTCACTGTGACTATTTTTCAGTGACTAAAAGATCTGCACAGTTGCTAATGTGCTCAGTCTCACCGATAGCAGTATTTGTGAGGTAAAAGGCTAACAAGAAAATGGCCACCCAGAGAGAACTGGGCTGAAATACTTCCAAAGATATATGCTGACTAGAATCACAAACTCCCAGGTCGACCAAGCCTTGAGTGGGTACTGGGTGCAGTCCCGGGAAGTAAAGGCGGCTGGCGTGATGCTGACCACATCACCCATCTTGTGCAGATTGGTCTATAAAAATATAGGTCTAGCCCTATATGCCTAAAGGTGTGGAAAAGGGACCTTTACTTTTTTTTTTTAAGTTTCACAAAGGGGAAAACCAGTTTAAAAAAAAATGATGTAATCAACCAGGAATTCTGATGATCAGACATGTCACGCCCTCTAGTGCAACCACCTCTGTCAAGAGTTGAATATTTACCTTCAAGACATTCATTCAGGGATTCATAATCTGAGTAGGTTCTTGTCTCGGGACGCTGATTTGGCTGCACCAACAATATTGTGTGAGACTGCAAAAAAAAAAAAAAAGACATAAAATTCTGTAGTCCGCAATTGAGAAAAAAATTAGTATATGAGTAAAGATAAATCACATTAATTGGAACAAGTTCAATAAAGGTCGATAAATAATATAAATGTCTGGAAAACTGTTTAATGTATTATTCATTTATATGAAAAAGACAACAGCAAACGATGTATGATTGTATGTTGTGATATCATTAGAGGGGCAGATAGACAGAGAATCATTAAATAGCACTGAAATGGGGAAAAAAAACTGAGTAACGAAAGGAGGATGATGCCCTAGAAGAGAAACCCAAGAAGGATGTTGTTGAAAGAGGCCAAAGGTGCTGCACTGAATTATGTCCCTATCGATGACTGCAGGGAATAGAAAGGAATGAAGACTTAACTCAAGATGTGATAAATGACAGCACAACAGAATGATGATAATTAATATCTAAATATCACTTAGCCTAATGAATGGATGAGGTGTATGTTTGCCACAAAAGTAGCATCGATTAAATTCAACCATTCCCAGTCTTAGCCAGGGTGAGTTTTTCCTGACCAGTTTATGGTTTGGTCTGGCCCAGCCCAACCAACAAATTCAACCATGGGTAATAGACAATTATCTTAGAAGCAAAATCCTCAAGCACGTTTGGAGTTCGTGTCAACCACTAAGTCATATCGTGATTTGTAAAGGCACTCTTCCGAATACCGGTCTAAAATTATTCAATGTTTAAAAAAAAATCCCATTTAGGGCCTCAAGAGGTTTATATAGTTAAAAATATGGAATAGGAACAATACTAACTAGGCTTTACCTTATTATATACTATACTTTCATGCAAAACCAACTCTTGAGTCTTCCATAGTAAAGTTGTAAGTATTCCGCCTGTCACACGGGTGACAGGTGTTTGATTCACTGCGGTGTGATAAAAATTGTTTAGCCCTTAAAATGGCAGTTGGCACGTCCTAATTAATCGCCCTTTAGAACATGCTTTTTAGGTGGCAGTGGATCATTCTTTTTCTTTCCTCAAACATGTAGCATTGGAACTAAAAAAAAAGTCATGGGTCAAGTGAACAATGAAAAACACAATAGATCAATTTCAAAAACTATTCCTCCCCTTGGACTTTAATGGATCTAAAACTACTCCCCATGACGCTAAAACTAAAACAAATGGATAAACATCTATTCCTCCCCATGACGTTTTAATGGGTCGTAACTGTGTGTTGGCGATAGACAGCGTGCAGTGCTCTACTGTCATCATACGGTTAGGGTTAGGGTTTGGGTTGCTACGTTGAGTGTCTGCGAAAACGAGATGCGGTGACACTAACCGTAATGCTAACCCAAACTCTAACACTAACCAAAACCGTATGATTATAGCAGGGCAGTGCACGCTGTCTATCGCCAACACACAGTAATTGTGTCAATTGTTTCGTTCCCTCCTTTTCCACTCCGTAATTGCACTGTAGCCAAGGGACAGAACTCCGACTAACCGGTTGTCTACTGGCCGTAGTTGACAGGAGAGCCATGTTTTTACTACATAACCTAACCTTTCAGATTCAGGCTCTCAAAAGGATTTTTTTCGCAGTTAATAATTTGGGACCGGTATTCGGAAGAGATCCGTAGTATGTTATGTTTTTGTTTCAATAATTATATTTATTTAAATAATTCATTAATTCAATTGAATGAATGATTATTATTAATGATTATGATGAATTCATCTCTGCAGCATAATTGAACAAATAACTATAATTCCTAATGCATGGAAGCACAGGACTGTAAACTTTTGAAGCAATCATACTTTAAAGAAAACTAAAGCATTTACACGGTAGGATCCTCCTATCACAATATATTTTGTTTTCTAATTTTTACCATTTTCGACCGACAACGTTGCTAGAAAAGCAGGCTCGTCTAGTTCAGCTATCTATTTGTACAACAAACGTCTACCCAACTGAACGGCGATCAATTAAGACACGCTGGAGATGCCGGTGCTATTGAAACAATAATTGTCACGTTAGAAGGCCGGATGTTGTTGCTGCCACCTTCGATTCGGTTCATGTCATCAATAATGTAGGGAATTGAGGACGTCAGTCAGCGAAAAGTTATTGTCTTTGAGTCGTTGAACGTTTAGGCAGGGCAGAGTTGGGTACGGCTGCAGGCGAAATGGATGATATTGTAACGCTTCTAGGGCTGTCGCTAGCGATGTTGGTGGGATGTTATCTGGCTGGGATAATTCCGCTGACTGTGACTCTTTCTGAGGTGAGGTAGCAGTCAGTTAAGTGTTAGTTCGTCGACGGTTGTCTTGTGTGAACTACTAACTCTGTAAAACTAAAATGTTTAGTAAAAACCTCTTACTCTGAACTAAACTAAACTTACTATCTAGTTAGTACTGTATCTAGAGAAAATAATCAAGCGGGAAGTTTTCCGGGCATCTGGCCACCATTCAGCACTCATAGTAGTAAAGGTGAGACGAACATAATTATAATAATTGGAACTCTACACTAACACTTACACTAACACAAAACACTTGCTGGCTGCTGAAGATCGGGACGGATCAGTTGGTTATGTGACTCTCCCGAGTGCTGTGATGTCAGCTCAACTAGATAACTTCAGTCATCGCAACATGTCTTTTTACAGTTAATGTTTTTTTACTTTTATGACCAGATAAAAAATAAATTAGAATGAATAGTTCAGTGACTAGCTGACTCTTACTTAGTCTTAGCAAGAGAGGAATTAAAGATTAAAGTCAAAAGAATCAGCTTCATTGTTAATGTACTGGGTTAACCGTTATGTAGCTTGACCTCTCTCCACAGAACTAGCCGCTTGTTGAGAGCATCACACGAAGCACAAATTAAAATAATCCCCAAGGTTCTCCTGAAGAACTGAATGACACATCTGTAAAATTAACACATGATCTTCATAGCAAATGACTTGACCACTTCGCCATGGACCCCCCAACCCCCTTTTCCCTTAGTAGCAGTCACAGAAGTATTTGTTTGTTCTGCTATACATAGTTTAATATCACTTTAGTTAGTCTTTCATCTTGAACATAGGGCAGAGGTCATAGCTCTTCATGTCTGGTGCTTCGTAGCCACTTGTAAGTCCTGAATGTTTATTAAGCCCATGGTTGAAACTTCTCTGATGATGTTTATACGCAGTCTCTCTTGGTCCTGTTTTCTTTTCCCTTCCGGTATCCATATGAGGGCTTGATGAGGGAGTCTTGTCTTATCCCTTCTGAGTACATGGCCGGTGTAGCACAGTTCCAGCGGTGTTTTTTCATAAAATAAGATACATTATCTTGCTTGGTCTCTTGTCTTTTTTTCATATTGAGTCTGAAATCTGTCCAGTAGAGATTTAGTATTCTTCTAAGACATTTCACAGTATCACAGGTATGCTTCGTGCAGAGTGGTAAGCATCACTTCAGAGGTCCTGGGTAGTTAGCATCCTTTTGATATTCTCTCCAGGTGATGCCGGTGTGTTGGGCAATGAGCAGGCAGATAGACTGGTCGGTTCTGCATGACTTGATGGTGAACTGATGTATGACAAGCTAGATGTTGTGAGGGCTCTCTGGGAGCAAGTGAACAGTGTGGAAGCGCAAATAGAATCATTACGGTCTAAGGAGGATGGCCCTGTGAGGAGTTGCCAGGGAATCTATCTGATGCTCAACACTCAAGGGAAAAACAAGACATATACAGACAGTTACTGGTGCCATCGGAATTGGAACTCTTCATTTGCTGCTGAAGATATGGGGAAGGTGCGCTTATGGAAGTGTCCCGAGTGCTATTTTGTCGATTTTAATTCAACATTCAACAACATTCACAGTATCACTAGTTGAACAATAAAAGCTGAAGTAAAAGTAAAATTTGCCATGTCAGCACTTTTGTTGTGTGAAATAAATAGGGTGCCAGTTTTAAATTAGACCACCAGAAGTGGGAAATATTCTAAGCATTCACCGGCTGTAAAATCTGGTTGTTGGTCCATTTTATGACATTGATCTTAGTTCAGAATTTGAGTTTTTGCAGATGCCATGTCATAAGTTCTTCATGCTGTTTAGCCTTTGCATTGCTAAAGCAAGTCTTTTTCTGAAATTCTTTTGTTGTCTATAAAAAAAGAATATATTGTTCTCAGTATAGAAGAAGCATATTGTGTTAAGTAGCAAAAAAAAGGTGCCGGTAATCACCAAAAAGTGTCTAAAATCACCAAAAAGTGTCTAAAAATAGGTAGTGGTGCTCGCAGCAGTGTCTATTATAGTAGCCTTGAAAAACAAATTAACGAACGAACGAACAAACTTTATTTTCAAAGGGTTAAGAATTGGGCACACAGGCCCGTCTTACATTCTGGCTTTACGCCATGCATACATTATTTATGCACACATTGTTTTAGAAGATAGTAATAATAATGATGATAATTACCGGCATCATCAATAACATGTTTGTAACAATGTACTCTAAGTATGCCTACATTTTAAAACAATTATAATACTAAATATAATAAATCTTGCTGGAAATCAACATTGTTCTTAGAAACTTTATCTTCTAAGGGGGCATGTAGTCTGAAGAAGAATTAAGAAGAATGAAGGTGCTGGTACTACATACCACCAGGAAAAAAAACCTTGCATATAGACAGATAGATAAAAGTAAGTAGTGCTACATTTATATTCTTTCTTTGGTTTGCATTGTTGCAGGAAAAACTGAAGCTAGTGACCGTGTTGGGGGCAGGGCTGTTGGTTGGGACAGCGCTGGCGGTCATAGTCCCTGAAGGTGTTCATGCAATGTACCATGTAGCACGTGAGGACTTATGTGTAGAATCTAGTTTGATTCTTTCATGTTTAGTTTTGTTTTGCTCTCTCTCTTTTGTATATGGTTGGTTGATTCTCTCATATATGATCTTGATTGATTCTTTCATATATAATCTTGTTTGACTCTTTCATGTTTAGTTTTGTTCTACTATAATTTCAGAGACATTGCTACAAGCCAAACTTTATGGGCCACTAAGTGAATTACAAAAGACACTGAAGTTTATACTAGAGACAGCATTGCAGATATAGATAATTTATTTCAGGTGAAAAAAAAAGAAGAAGAAGAGTTGCGTCAAATAACCGGCACCATGCAAGGAATGTTTGAAAATGCATCAGACAAAATGAGGAGAAGAACCAGTAAGCTTCACATTATTTAATAAGTTCTTCTTCTTCTTCACTTCCTCTTTTACCGCTGTGGGTGTCGAGGGAGATATAAGGTTCTGTTTCTAGCTCTTCTGGCCGCCTTGACCATAGGCACATCGTGCTGTTGTAGAGTTTCTTGGTCTACCTCGTGCTCTACGTCCTTCTTCTCTTTCCATGTATGCTTTTTATGGTATGGTGTCACAAGGCATTCTCTCTAAGTGGGCAAACCATTTCACTTGCTGTCTTCGTATGTAATCCAGAATTGGTTCTGTGCCGACTTTTTCTCTTATGATCTCATTCCTGATCTTATCTCTTAAGGTCACTCCTACAGCCCTTCTCAGACATCTCATTTCTGTGGTTACTAATTTTTTTTTTTGGTTTGTTGTGAGTGACCATGTCTTTCACTGGTAGCACAGAGTTGGAATAAATATGCTTTGAATAAGATTTAATTAGTTAATCAACAGATGATCCTCATTGCACATCGGGCATGTCCATAAGTGCTCGGATCCCATCTTCAGCATATCCCCCAGCGTGTGGCCACTGATAACACCAGCTCTGTGTTGGTTTGCTATACTTATTTGGCTACCTGCATAATGTTCATGTTTGGCAACACTTCTTTTGACCTGAAGTTCTTGTAGTCTTTTGAGTGTTGCCGATTCAACGTCGTCTCCTAAATCATCTTCTTGTCCTGCCTCCTTGAGAGCAGAGTGACAGTTGCTGCTAGAAAGCTTTCATCAGGACATTACAGAAATCTATAATACCATATGTATAAACAAGAATACACAGAATCGGACGTATCTCTGATATAAATCTCGGTACTTATCGCACGCACAATGTGAGTTCTTTCCTTTCCCATTAATGCCTCGGCGGGTCACACGGCCTGTCCTATGTTGCAGAGGTGTTATGAGATCGTTTTGCTAGGCCTTTGTTCGCCATATATGGTGTTTGTGGGATGTTGTGTCGTCCTGATACTCTTAGAGGTGCCACAGGCACCTATGTACAAGTAAGAATCACTGCAGAAGAAATCTCCAAAGCGCAACTGTTCATGAGTATCGAAACTGGGATGTCTTTATATTTCTGTGTTCAATGGCAGTGGCTTCCCCTTGATAAAAGAACTGACAAAGAATGTAGGACTACAAAAACATCACAGTTTTCATACTCCTGCATCGTCAGGCATGTAGCAGAAGGTGGAAATAATCACACAGGTGAGCGGCGACAACATGAGAAAAGAGACAACAGTTCAAACTGTTGAAATTGAGGAATACATGACACCCCCGCAACATAGGACAGGCCATGCAACACGCCGCGGCATAAACGGGAAATGAAGGAGCTCTCATAGAGCGGGTTTTTTATAAATACAGAAGTCACATTTCTGTCAGGCCAGTAGAATATCTGACTTGTGTATGGCGTTTAAAGAATTATTCTAGTTTAATAGTAATTCCCTTAATTATTCTGTATGTTTCTAATGCGTACAGGAGGGCTGATTTTACCTTGGTCAAATATTTGAAATTTGTTACTTGTTTTAGTATCATTTGACTTCTTTTGTGTGTGTGCAGGGTCTACTTGACTTGAACTGAGTTCCATTTCAGCTAAAAGATCAAAAGTCAAGTTTATATTTTTCAACAGTATGTTATTCAAAGAGGTTATACAAATTGTAGTCTGCCATACGTGGTAGAGTCAAACAGATCCTGATGCCAAGACCTTGCTGCACTTTATGCATCAGTTTGGGGGGGGGGGGGGGGATGTTTTGACCCTATCAGTGCAATTATCTGTTTTATTTACCTTTTTTTTTTTTCTTGTGCTCCAGGAGAAGGTGTATTTATGTTCCTCTGTCTTTGACGGCTTATTGTGGCCAAAAACAGTTCTAATATAGTTTATAAGTTAATCGGTGGCTCAGTGGGTAGATGCTCACCCGTCTAACTGATGGTCTTGGGCTTGAATCCATATAGTTTTTTGTTTTTTTGGTTGTTATATTGACCTTGGCTGCCAGGTTGACCTAGCCTAACATGAACAGACTGGCTGGTTCTGCACAAACTTGGTGGAATACTGATGCATGATAGGGCAGACGTGGTTAGTGCCTTGTGGCAGAGTGTGTACAGTTCGGAGGAGCAGATGGATCACCACAGTCTGGTAAGATTGATGCAGCGGGGAGGGACGGGAGGTTCTGGTAGATGCTCGAGGCTCAGAGGAAAGGTAAGACGGATGTTTAATCATAATGCTACTGGCACCATTAGTATCGGAACTCTTCGCTGGCTGTTAAAGATGGGGAAGGAGCGCTTATGGGAATGCCCAGAGTGCTGTGATGTCGGTTCTTGAATCAAATCAGACATGGACACCAGGTAGTGTCCTAAGAAATAAAGATAGTCAGCATGATGTTGGCCCAAGTGCCGATTGGTCAATCAAAATATGTTTCTGGCATCATATGCACCACCAATCAGTCAGCAGATTCTTTACAGAACTTGGCTATCTTCTGAAAGTCTCTATTTCTCTAGACAATTATCCAGCCCTGTGTGCTTTCATAGCCAGGGTATCTTTAGTGTCCTGTATCCAGATTTGTAGAGGTCAGCCTCTGCCCAGTTTTCTAGAAGCTGCATCCTCCATCACCGTTCTCAGTGACACTTAACATGTCCAAAATATCTCAGCTTTCTTGGGAGGATGCTGTTTATGAGCCAGTTCTCCTTGATGTTCAGATCCTGCACGGTGTTCTTCTTGGTTCACAGTATTTAACAATCTTGCTGTAACATTTTCAGTTCAAAAGCTGCCATTTTCTTCTTCAGAGACTAAGTGAGAGTCCATGACTCGCATCTATAAGTTGTCACAGGAAAATTTCTTGATCTAAAGATGTTTACTTAGTCTGTATTGATGTTTTAACATCACTGCAATTGGGTTCCCCATACTTGCTCCATTCCTGTGCCACTGCAAATGAAATGAAATATCCCTCTCTATTGCAGTTGAACATCGGGTGAACAAACTAGTCCAAGAACAATCCAGAAATATACGCACGCTGTAAAAAGCAAATTTCAGTTGTTGAAGGCGCTAAAGCCCAGTCGCCAACAGAAATGCAGTTTGTTGTTGATGGAAGTATTCAGGCACAATCATTTGGTTACTGTGCACATGTAGAATTGTTACATAAGGTATTTCACCAACTCACATGTAACCCCACTACCGGCCATGAATACCACGGCACAAATGAAAGGCATTGCACAGGAAAACCACAGCTCACAGGGCTGCAACCAAGCAATAAACTCAGTAGCTCAGGCAGGGAAATTGTAGACTACTGCCTTTATGTGGAAACTGCATTAGCAAAGCACTGTCGGAAGCAGAAATAACTTTGAAGCTAAACATTCTGCCAAGCCTTTCCTCCATTTTGGCCAGAAGTCTGTTTACTTGCAGGTGCTATGCCAGGTTTTTCATGCACCGCTGGCATAAAATAAAAAAGACATCCTTTACTTGTACTGTAATGTATTTTGTTTTTCTCTACAGCTCATGATGACCATGATGCTTCAGCAGTCTCCGTTGCCAAAGAAGTAGCGAATGCAAATGTTGAAATCCCACATGCAGAAGCGCATCATGAGCATGGAGGCGAATCTCATGCCTTGATAGAGAAGCATTCTGTGATCGGCATCAGTTTGGTGACAGGGTTCATTTTCATGTTGTTGGTGGATCAGATTGGAGGCAGCATGCATGCACATGCAGTGCCAACGGACACTGAAGCTGCAGGACATGGTCAGAACAGGAATAAGATAACTGCAACATTAGGACTTGTTGTGCATGCTGCTGGTGAGTCATGTCTGTTAACTAATGCTTACTTACTTAGTCGCTCCTATTCTACCTTGGGGTGTAGAGGTTTGCCAGAGAGATCGCCAGACGTCTCTATCAGCAGTTTTGTTAACTAATGCTATGCTGTTAATATTGTTATGAAGAAGTATAGCTGCCATTTTGTTTATAGTCTGACTGTTAGAACCAAAGGAGGTCACACAGAGCCATTCACCATAAAATCTGGAGTACGGCTTTGCCACATGATATTATAATCAGAGCATTTTTCTCTTGCAATACATAGAGCTGGCATCTTTTTTGTAAATTAAAAAAAAAATAAAAACATATTTTTCATCACTGTAAAAAGCATATTGTGGTGAGTACCGGAACCTGTTTAGGCAGGGCAGAGTTGGGTACGGCTGCAGGCCAGATGTATCGATCGTTATCTATGACTGAGATGTTGTGAACACACTTTGTAACTCTACAGTGCTGGGTTCAATCCAGACTGCAGACGATTTGGCAGCAGTCTGCCTTGTGTTGATTTTGATAGTGCTATCTGTGGCCGGACTTTCAGAGAGCATTGGCAAACTTAGTTAGTTAGTCAGTCTTTGCTCTTGAGCCTAAGGCGGCAAATAGGGCAGAGGTCATAGCTCTCTCTGTCTGGCGGTTCGTTAACACCTGATTTAGATTGGCAAACTACTGAACATAAAATTGCTTAGTGAAATCACAAGCAGGCCCCACAAAAATGCTAGGGTTGGTTCTGTGACGTGCTGTAAAACTATGCCTAACTAACTATTTAAAACTACATTTTAGGTGGTATAGAATTGGGGGGGGGGGAGGGGGTTTTGAGCCTTAGGATTTATGGCTGCATGGCTAATGTCACAAACTGTAGATTAGATTTTATTTTTGCCCCTGACATACAAAATCTACCATCTTATGGAGGGTTTGAACTTGGGTCTCCTGAACAAAACCCTGGGTTTCGTAACTACTTGGACTGCTTTTTAAATACCATAAATTTTAGCTGGGCAGTTCCTAGGTAACAATGGTCTCGGTGAACATAAACAATTCTTTTTCTTCTTTAGCATTCAGAGCCCTTGAGGTTCATGACTGCAGATATCACTCGACTCCATCCGTCTCTCTTGGTGGCCTTCTCTTTCCAGTTTGTGACACTTAGTGTTTGCAGATCTGCCTGGATGTTATCTCTCCACCATCTTCCTGGTCTGCCTTTTGGTTTGTGGTCGTTCAACTTTGTTGTGTACACAGTTTTTGTAACCCCTCTGTTATCTGACATTGTCTCATTATGCCCCCAGCCATTTCAGTGGTGAGTGCATTATTGTTGTATATGAAGCAACACAAACAGTACTTGTTATTAGAGTATCTAGCTATGTTTCTACATTTGGCTAAATACTAGATAACGATGAGGTGACTGCCTGGTCTCGAGGCATCATAGCATCAGCCTCGGGTGCTGGACTCCCTGATTTAGGCGCTGGTAAAGGCTGGGATTTTTTCACGTGCACTCCTAGTAATTTCCCCTGGTCTGTGGGTAGTAAGTTCAGACACCCATATGTATAGTTGCGCACGTAAAAATCCCTTGGCAGTTGGAAATTGAAAAGAGTAGCCTAATGCGCTGTCCAGGCAAAATTTAGAGTTTAAAATTTACCTAAAGTATTTAAGGATCATCGCCGGTGCTACAGAGCTCATGCACTGTGCTGAGCTTCTTTGGACTCTGACTTGAGTTAGAAGTAGAACGGAGCACTTCTAGGTTACACCCGTGTGCCATGATGTTGATCCGTTGTTAAACCAAACTGTAGATAACAATGTTCATGGCTTTGTAACCGAAGCAAAATCTGATCATACATGGCACATTGGTTGGGACTGAAATTAAGAAAGTTAAAAAAAAAAAGTAAGTAAAGATCCCTTTTCATGCCTTTAGGCGCATTGGGCATATGGGATGAGCACCCATTTTTTTTACAGACCAATCGGGACTAGGTGGGTAATGTGGTCAGCATTACGCCGGCTGTCTTTACTTTCCCAGGACATACATCCTGGTAGCCATTTTAGGCTGTCGACCTGCAACTCCCCATACCATGAAAAAAATCCACGCAGCCAGCAGTGGGTTTCGATCGCGGTACGTTGGAATTACGAGTCGGACTCGCAACTCCAAAGCCAGGGACGCCGCTTGGGACTGAAAGAGTCGGATGAAATCATGTGGTCAGTGTTTGTAAATAAATGTTTATCCTTTTTTTTTTTTTTTTCACTGACCAATGCGTCTTATGTCAACAGCTGATGGGGTTGCCCTGGGAGCGGCCATTACCTTGTCAGAGACTCACATTACTATGATTGTATTTGTGGCCATCATGTTGCATAAGGTAACCCTTTTCTTCTGATTATTACATGCTGTTTGAATGACTCTGATCCTCGTGTGGGTTCCTGGGCCTTATTTAGGGCGAAACAAAAGATCCTCTGCCACTGTAGTAAGAATGTCACAAAAGGCAACTATTTAGGTGTGTTTCTATCAAAGTCTAAGAGACGAGGAACCAACAGTCTGCATACAGATAAGCCAGATCTATAAAATGGATGTCTGTGCAGAAATGTAAGTTCTGGAAAGAAGACCAAAGTCCACAAGTCACCAAACAACCAGAAATTTCTGCTGGGGTTTACAGCTGGTGAACACTAAGTAAAGTATATGAAAGGGGTATTCAATAAAACAGGGGTATTCAATAAAACAGGGGTATTCAATAAAACAGGGGTATTCAATAAAACATGTCGGGGTGAGAAAGTTAAGTGAATACAGACCCTTGGTATTTACACAAATACTCAAGCACTGATGTTATCATAATCAACGTCACTGCACATTGGGCAATCCCATGCGTGCTCAGTCCTCCGATGCAGCAGCCACTCCAAGGTGTTTCTACTAATTGTTCCCATGAGAGGTTTGTTACAATGTCTTCTATCTTGGCCTCAAAGGCAGCATAGACATGCTTCAACATGCTTTACTCCTATGTCATGCGGTCATGTCAGACATTCATCATTATCCACTAGCCTAGTTTGTACAACATTGATGATATCTGCTGTGTCCATGCTTCTATGGCGAATTGCTTGCCAGTTGGCCTGCTCGCTCATTTCCCTTTACGCCAATATGACCAGGTGTGTAGATCCAGGTGATGGAGGTTAAGTGCGATTTTCGAATGCTTTCAGCTCATTTTAAACACTGACTCATACCATGACTGTGTCACTATGCAACAGCAGCTAACAGCTAATTATGACTAAACGGGTCATTTCTCTCGCCCCCTGACATTTTTAGTAGAAAGTTGAATTAAGAATCGACAGCACTCTGAACACTCCCATAAGTGCTCAGTCCCTATCTTCAGCAGTAAACGAAGGGTTCCAATTCCGATGGTATATCCTTCCCCAGAATGTTGAGCATCGGCCAGATCCCCTGGTAACTCCTTGCAGCTCCATTCTCCCCAGACCATAATGATCTTTTTGCATCTCCGCACTGTTCACTCCTCCCAAAGAGCCCTCACATTATCTAACTTGTCTTACATCAATTCACCCCCAAGTGGGGCAGAGCCAGCCAGTCTATCTGCCTGCTCATTTTCCCAACACACCAGCATTACCTGGAGAAAATATCCAAAGGATGCTAACTACCCGGGACCTTTGAAGCACTGCTTGCTACTCAGCACGGGCCATGCCTGTTTTCACCTTTCTCAACATGCACTGTGAGTGTTACAATCACGGCATGTGTGTCCAGCTTTTTAGTAAATATAATCATGTCTGGCCCTTCCTTTTTAACACTGTGCATGCACAGGCAAACAGTACCAAGCTTATATATAGGCTTATGGGGCTAGCTAAAACCATATTACCAAAATATCAGCTGCTCTGGAATTTGAAATGGATGATACCCGTGTGGGTTCCGGGGCCCTAATATAGGGAAAATAAGAATAGACCCACTGCCTGCCCAAAAGCATGTCATAAGAGTCGACTAATTGGGAACTTCCTTCGAAGTCGGAGTGCAACAACCAGAACTTTCCGCCAGAGTTTACAGCTGGTGAACCCAAGAAGAAGAAATGGATGACAGTGCCGAATTAGTGGTGTCTTTTGGTTCTTCTCTAGTTCTGTATGGCCTTTCCACATCAGGTTTTGAAAAGACATCAGGCGAGAGCCTTGGTAGGTGCTCATATTTATGTCCTCAGCTATTCTATCCTATCCATCGCTTGCTTGGTCATTCTCTGGCTCTGCGAACATTCTGTCTAAGTGAGACGGCTCTCTGTGGTGCAGTGTCTGTTGGATGTCTTGACACATGTCTGAACCACTTGATCTGTTGTCTTGTGATGTAGTTTATTAATACTGGTTGGTTTGATTTGATTCAAGAACCAACATCACAGCACTCGGGGCATTTCCGTAAGCGCTCCGTCCCCATCTTCAGCAGCCAGCGAAGAGTTCCGATACTAATGGTGCCAGCAGCATTCTGATTAAACGTCCGTCTTGCCTTTCCTCTGAGCATCGAGCATCTGCCAGAACTTCTCGTTACTGGTTCAGTTCCAAATTCTTTCCTGATATTGTAATTTCTGGTCCTTCTAGTTGATTTAGGATTCACAGTAGACATTTTATTTCTGTTTCCATTTTTTCTTTTGTCCTTTTTTTTGTAATATGAGGTTTGAACAACGGATCAACATCTTGGCACACAGGTAGTAACCCATAAGTGCTCCGTTCTTCTTTTAACTCAAGACTGAGTCCAAAAAAGCTCAGCACAGTGCGCAGGCTCTGTAGCACAGGCGAAGATCCTGAAATACTTTGGGTAGATTTTCAACTCCAATTTTTGCCTGGACAGCGCCGTTAGGCCACTCTTTTTGATTTCCAACTGCCGGGGGATTTTTTTACATGCACAACAATGCACACGGGGGGTGTCCGATCTCATTACCCAGAAAGCAGGGAATAACTAGAAGTCCACGTGAAAAAATCCCAGCTCTTACAGGGGATTGAACCCGGAACCTCTAGCACGCAGCCCCTTTCTTGTAAGTAGAGTTAAGGTCTAGACCGGAGCTCTGTATAATGACACAGCTGGATGAAGAATTTCTAGTGATCTGTTTTATTATTTTGTTTTCAGGCACCGGCGGCTTTTGGTTTGGTATCATTTTTACTGCATGAAGGATTAGACCGAACAAGGATACGAAAACATTTGGCAGTGTTTTCTGCCGCAGCACCTTTGTTGACCGTGATAACATACTTGGCCCTTAGCCAGGTAATTTTTTTTGTCTTGTTAGTATTTTTTTGTGTGTGTATTTAATCAAGTCCATGTAATGCAACTTTTTATACAGCAATAAGAAAGAGACAAACACTGTTCTTTGGTCATATAATGAGAAGAGAGACATTGGAGAACATTGTGACAACTGGAAGAATCAGTTGGAAAAGGGGTAGAGGTAGACGAAGAGAGATGATGCTGAAACAATGGCATGCGGGGATATCATCAAGAGAGCTTTTCCAGGCAACCTGGAATCGTGGTCTGTGGAGACGCATGAGCGCCTATACCAATTTGACATGGCACATGATGATGATGAATGCAACTTTCATAACTATTTCTACTTTTTTTTTTTCAGCCTGAAAAGGGCGACTGGCAAGTTGTTGTGGTTTACAGCTAGGCCTCAGTGCATCTTTCAACCCAGCACATCTGATTTAGCAAAACGTCTAAATAGTCGCCTTTAACGAAATTCTTATTGAGGGGTTGAGGATTACATTGGGTCTGTTCTTTATTCCATTCCAAAATGGGTCTGCTGAAAACACACAGGGAGATAACCATGTCTGTCCACAGCGTTCTGTTTTATGTACTATCAATCATTTCTGATAGACATGTTCTTCCATGCCTTGTGCTACAGTGTCTCAACATCTTGGAAAGGTATCGTACACATGTTCTTCCATGCCATGTGCTACAGTGTCTCAACATCTTGGAAAGGTATCGTACACATGTTCTTCCATGCCTTTTGCTACAGTGTCTCAACATCTTGGAAAGGTATCGTACACATGTTCTTCCATGCCTTTTGCTACAGTGTCTCAACATCTTGGAAAGGTATCGTACACATGTTCTTCCATGCCTTGTGCTACAGTGTCTCAACATCTTGGAAAGGTATCGTACACATGTTCTTCCATGCCTTGTGCTACAGTGTCTCAACATCTTGGAAAGGTATCGTACACATGTTCTTCCATGCCTTGTGCTACAGTGTCTTAACATCTTGGAAAGGTATCGTACACATGTTCTTCCATGCCTTTTGCTACAGTGTCTCAACATCTTGGAAAGGTATCGTACACATGTTCTTCCATGCCTTTTGCTACAGTGTCTCAACATCTTGGAAAGGTATCGTACACATGTTCTTCCATGCCTTGTGCTACAGTGTCTCAACATCTTGGAAAGGTATCGTACACATGTTCTTCCATGCCTTGTGCTACAGTGTCTCAACATCTTGGAAAGGTATCGTACACATGTTCTTCCATGCCATGTGCTACAGTGTCTCAACATCTTGGAAAGGTATCGTACACATGTTCTTCCATGCCTTTTGCTACAGTGTCTCAACATCTTGGAAAGGTATGGTACACATGTTCTTCCATGCCATGTGCTACAGTGTCTCAACATCTTGGAAAGGTATCGTACACATGTTCTTCCATGCCTTTTGCTACAGTGTCTCAACATCTTGGAAAGGTATCGTACACATGTTCTTCCATGCCTTGTGCTACAGTGTCTCAACATCTTGGAAAGGTATCGTACACATGTTCTTCCATGCCTTTTGCTACAGTGTCTCAACATCTTGGAAAGGTATCGTACACATGTTCTTCCATGCCTTTTGCTACAGTGTCTCAACATCTTGGAAAGGTATCGTACACATGTTCTTCCATGCCTTGTGCTACAGTGTCTCAACATCTTGGAAAGGTATCGGGTGGTAAGCATACTTTGGAACTGTTCTCCAGGCCATGCCGACGTGGTGGGTAATGAACAGGCAGACAGATTGGCTGGATCTGCGCCACTGGGTGGTGAATTGATACATGACAAGGCAAATGTGGTCAAGGCCCTTTGGGAACAAGCAACGGAATCAGTAGAGAAAGAAGATTATTATGACCTGGAGAGCATGAGGCACCTGGGTGTAACCAAAGGGTCTGGCCGGCTCACTACACTACTAAGAGGAGAGGCAAGACGGACATATAACCAGATTGTGACCAGTACCATCAGTATTGGAACTCTGCGCTGGCTTCTGAAGATGAGGACAGAGCATTCATGGGAATGCCCTGAGTGCTGTAATGTCAATTCATAACTTAACTCATCTTGTCTCACTGTGCCTGTGTTTCCCTGCAACTTTCTGTTTTTACGTTCCACTTATTTACTCAGTCAATCATTCTGTACCTTGGGGTATAGTGGTTTGCTAGAGAGAGAGAGAGAGAGATCATCAGACTTCTCTCTCTCTCAGCAATTTCTTTTTGGCTTTTTTAATTCCAGTCCTCTGCCGGATGTTGTATTCCCAGCGAACCCTGGGTCATTCTTAAAAGTCTTAATCTCGGCCTCCAGTGACTGTCCATGGTGGCCAGTTCTCTCCCATTTTTCATGTCCAAACCATCATAACAGGGACTGATCTACTTGAGTTTGCAAGGCCTGGATTTCTAGATCGTGACATATTTTCTGGTTGGGAACCTTCTTCCTTCATGTTACTTAGACCACATTTTTTGGATACCTCATAATCTTCTTCGCATTCTTCTTGAAGTCCATGCGTGTGGCGTTGGTAGTCATGTCTATCCACAATCTTCTGTCTCATGAACTTTCAATAAACTCATGATAAAAAAATATTGATTGTCTCTTTCCGAAATGGGCAATCAGTTTCTTTCAAGACGTCTTTGTTTCTCTTTTTTATCCGTCCAGGATCTTTGCATTCACCAGCTTGGACCACATTTCTTGGATACCTCATAATCTTCTTTGCATTCTTTTTCTTGAAGTCCATGCCGTGTGGCGTTGGTAATCATGTCTATCCACAATCTTCTGTCTCATGTACCTTCAATAAACTCTGACACAGATGCCATGCCATGATGCCAGACTGTCCATCATCTTTTCTCTTGGTCTTCCTCTGCCTCTGTTTTACCATGGCTGTTTTTCTAGTGCTACACGGTACGGCACCTACTGTTAGGCATTTTTTTCCCCTTAGCATTGCTGTAATAGACACTTGTGGTGAATGCTGACACCTGATTTAGACTTTTATGGTAATGCCAGAACATGTTTTCTAGAAAGAAAAAAACATGAATAATGCAATTTAATATATTGTATTGCCTTGTTAAGTAAAGTTGCACATTATTGCAAAAACTGTAATGCATTTTTCCAATTTTGTTCCCCAGCAAAGTAAAGAAACTTTATCGGATATTCAGACTACAGGAATAGCCATGTTGTTCAGTGCGGGTACCTTTTTATATGTCGCCACAGTCCACGTACTTCCAGAAATCTCCATCACTCACATACAACATAAGGCTGCAGACGGGACAGTTATTGTTAGGGAGCAGAAAGGATTCAAAAATGTCGAACTGTTGACGTTGGTTATTGGGGCTCTGCTGCCGCTGATTATAGCTGTTGGACATAAGCATTGATGACAGCGCTTGACCTTGCACTTTCGGACACACTTGCATGTCCAGGAGGGAGCATGTCGAAGCTGTGAGACTTAGGTTAACAATCCTGCCGATTTTGTTTCTTGTTTGTGTCCACAAGTGGAAATGAAGCTCTAATGGATAGCTCTTCCACTTGTTATTATTCTGTGAGGGGGAGTCTGCTTTTTTTGAGCAGTGATTGCCTCTCTTTGCTTTAACTCTTTGAGTCCCAAGGAACGCATCGTACGTTCATAGGTTCCTACCTGGAGGCCCAATGAACGCATGATGCACTGATTTTTTTATTACTTTCTTTACTACCCCCTTGGCCTATGATGCTAAACCTCCTGGGACTCAAAGAGTTAAAATTAGCATAGAGGCATTCTAAACTTCTACATTTGGAAGATTTTAAGGCATGATGCTATTTCACCAACCGTTCTTATTCTTCTGTAGCTCACCCTGTAGAGGGCGGTTGGCACACTGTGTTGTGGTTTACAGTTCGGCTGCGATATCTGCGTTTTTTTGGTCCAACACATCCAAAATCAGCTAACCCTTTATTATTAGTTGCCATTTTGTTTCGGGCAGCGTCTATCCATTTTCTTCATTTCGAAAACGTGAAACCGGACCATTCAATTCTATCTTTCTTCAAATGCTGAATGTTGTGAGTTCTAACATTCTGACATGTCTTTCTTGTGCTCATTTCTTCTTATGACAGTGAGAAGTCGGCCTCTTAAGGCCAGTAATTTGTTTGGGTTTATATGTTGGTAATGTCTAACATTATCACACCAGTTCCATGTCTTCCCTTTGCATTGAAACCACCACAGAAATGTTGTAAACTTTTGCAGTGCTTTGATATTAAGGCTTGCTTGTTGACTAAACCACTCAAAAACCTGCAAATGTTAAATGGGACGTGTTCCTACTTTCTGTTATTGTCTTGGATTTGTTTATTCTTCTTCTTCTTCTTCTTCTTCGCGTTCACCAGCTGTAGACTCTGTAGAAAGTTCTGGTTGCTCGTCCACTACTGAACTGCAGTCCTGCTCCAGAACCTGAGTGTTACGTGTGCATCAGTTTTACAGATGTCATTCTTTTGAATACAGACTGTTGGTTCCTTGCCTCTCCGGCAGATGCACTCCGACTTCAAAGGAAGCTCCCCAATTAGCCGACTCTTACGACATGCTTTTGGGTAGGCAGTGGGTCTATTCTTGTTTTCCCCACAATGGGACCCCGGAACCCGCACGGGGGGATTTGTTTTTTCTCCAGAGCAGTATTCTGAACCCCTGGATTGCGACCCTTTTTTTTTTGGGTCGAACGGCCCTTTCACAGGGGTTGCCAAAGACCATCGCAACACACATATTCATTGAAGTTATGTTTCCTAAAATTATCTTCTCAGAAACAGGTTGTGGGCTATACATACTTTAATACAGTATATGCATGTGAGTCATGGACAATAAATAGAAGGCAGATGACAACCGTATGATTAAAAAAGGAGACAGTTAGGCTCAAAACAGGTGACAACCGTATGATTAAAAAAGGAGACAGGCTCAAGACAGATGACAACCATATGATTAAAAAAGGTGACAGTTAGGCTCAAAACAGGTGACAACCGTATGATTAAAAAAGGAGACAGTTAGGCTCAAAACAGGTGACAACCGTATGATTAAAAAAGGAGACAGAGGCTCAAGACAGATGACAACCATATGATTAAAAAAGGAGACAGTTAGGCTCAAAACAGGTGACAACCGTATGATTAAAAAAGGAGACAGGCTCAAGACAGATGACAACCATATGATTAAAAAAAAGAGACAGTTGTGCTCAAGACAGATCACAGCCATATGTTAAAAAAAGAGACAGTTGTGCTCAAGACAGATGATAACCATATGATTAAAAAAGGAGACAGTTGGTCTCAAAACAGTTGATAACCGTATGATTAAAAAAGGAGACAGTTGGTCTCAAAACAGTTGATAACCGTATGATTAAAAAAGGAGACAGCCTTAAAACTAATGACAGCCATAAACTGGTTAGAGAAGGTAGACGTAGACTGTTTTTAGACATGTTACGAGAAAGAATGGCCTCAACAACTTTGTTAAACTTTCAAAACTGGTGGTAAAAGAGTATGGGGAAGGCAGAGAGATGAACACCTGCATGGCTTGGCCATATGGGTGGGACGAGACAAGTAAAGTAAAGTAAAGATCTTTTTTCACGCCTTTCGGCGCATCAGGCATATGGGCAGAGCGTCCCATATTTTTACAGACCATCAGCACTCTGTGGGTAATGTGGTCAGCATTACGCCGGCCGTCTTTACTTTCCCAGGACAGCCCATCCTGTACCCAATTTAGGCTGGGTCGACCTGCGACGTCCCATACCACGATAAAAATCCACGCAGCCTGCAGTGGGTTTCGATCGCGGTATGCTGGCTTACGAGTCGGAGTCGCAAGAGCAAGTCCTAATCTGTGGTGATACCTTGGCTCTTTAATTTAATGTATATTCTCTCCCATTTTTGTCTGATCCTTTCTCTCTGAACCTTTCTGTTTGTCTGGATGGAGACAATCGTTTAGCACAAATATGTTAACATTTTTTTGTTAAAAAGATTGAGGGGAGTGATGGCAAGCAGGCTTGAGTTGAATAAATTGTCAGTATGCTTATATATCTACAGAAAGATGTCCATGTTCATATATTTACAATATATTGACTATATAACCAAATATATACATATGAAGGGGTGGATATTAGAGATTTTACTATGTTAATTGTTATACCATGCACCTTGAAAGTGAATGATGCATTAGTTTTATTTTGTGGTTGATGTTTTAATGTATAATTGTAATAGTGATATGTGTGTGATTTGTTTGTTACTGGAGCCTGTCAAGGAACAGAGAATAGTAGCCTGTTGTGCATGTCATAGGAGGCACCTAAGGAGGTTTGGCATGAGACCAACTACCTCATCATGAGCAAATTTCCTTGGTGTGAGTTGATTGAGGGCATGTGCTCGATTATAAGGTGAAACGAAGGGGCCCTTCTGGTATTTCTTGTTCCGGAACACAGGGATGATTCCTTTAGGCTGGTGATATTTCTGTTTCTGGTTTTGGTAATGTCTGAAGTAATAACTCAATTTTCTTGTCTTCCTTTTGCATTGAAAGCACCACAGAGGTGTAGATTTCTGCCATATTTTGATATTACGGCCTTCTTATCACTAAATCATTCAATTCTGTCATTCTGCAAATGCTAAATGTGACATGTTGTTCCTCCTTTCAGTTATTTTCTTGGATTTGTTTTCATTTTTGGACAATGCTTTTCCTTAGCAGTTGGTTTGAGATTTTACACCTTGCGGTGTTGGTCTTTAATTGTACGATCCTTGTTATAGATGACGCATCTTCAGAAAATTAAAGTGGTTAGTGTAATTCCGGATTTTTACCAAAACATGAGACAGATTCAGATGTCTAAATCTGGTACAGGAAAATACTTTGGGAAATACTGCGCTGGCTGCTGAAGATGAGAACAGAGTATGCATGGGAATGCCGTGATGTCAATTCTTGACTCAACTCTGGGAAGTAAATATGGCCAGCAAGATAGTCAAGTATCGCTAGTTGCACTGTATTATTACCTTCCTGTGCCAGGGCTCAAGCCACGACAACCCCAATTTTTAAGATTTTACCCTGAGTAGACTTAGTTGAATAGCCTTGCCGTAGGTAAATGGCATGAAAATTAAATTTAAGGACCCTTCCTGCACCCCTTTTTTTTACTTTGTGGTGAAAGATCATATCTGTGTGTTGTTGTCTAGATCTGACTTACTGCCATGATGACTAACTCCTAGAATGTTTGTTTTTTACACTTTATGTGTGCGAGTAGTTTGACAACCATGACTATAAAATTGGCAGCTTGGAGTTATATTTTGTTGACTAAAATAAATGTTTACTCCTCCTGTTTTTAACCTCATTTGAGGATATTTTCATGCACTCCTTTCAGATCATTTTATTTTTTTTTTATTTCCTGCGTCTCTTTCTATATTCTTCTTATAGTTCATACCATGTGACTTTGGTAGTTATGCCTATCCACAAACTTCTGTCTGATGTACTTTCAATCAGTTCTGATACAGACGGTCTTCCTAAACATAATGTTTAACTGTCCAGCTTCCTTTCTCACTGTCTCTTCTCCACATTCACAATGTACTCCAGTTTTCTCCTTCTCATGACTGAAGAATATAGATTGTCTTCTCGCATTCTGATCTGGGTAGTCAGTATTTTTCAAGACCACTTTATTACTCTTTTTATCTGTCTACGGTGTTCTTATCATTCGTATATGTTTGTTTGTTTGTTTTAGTATCCAGAAGCCATGAGTTGTTACCCTTAGGCTCGGTATTATGGATATCGCAACCTTTTGGCCTTGATTCCATTGTAAATACCGTAAATCTGGGAGAAATGTGGCTTTTCTGCCTACCCGCGCGAGTGAACCCGGACCACAAGGAGTTTGTCACCCGGTCACCGCGCAATTCGATTTAGCTAACTACGCTAGAGAGCCGGGCATCATTCGGATATAAAATCACCACATCTCCACCACTTCCACATAATTTTTTTCACTAATTTTTTCATGATTTACTTCCATATATTATAATAGGATTTGTATAGCTCTTGATAATTCTTTTTTCTCACCTTTCCTTGTAAAAAAAAAAATTTTAACTTTTTTTTAAAAATATTATCCCCATATTATTTACTTTTCTCTAATTCACTTTTCATTGAGGTTTTAGGTCTACCTCTGACAGTTTTACCATACAAATTTCAGCGCAAGAACATACTGGTAAATACATTGCACCTTCTCCTCGACTTTCAACCATGCGCACTTACAAAGACACACACACAAAAAAAGAAAATTGAAAGTAGTAAATGAAGGGAGGAAAAAACTATTGGTAGGGTAAAAGAGTGTATTGTGTATGTTTCACATTGTGTACAATAATTTTAGATTGATTTATTCATGTTTTTGTTTTGTTTTATCTACACTTGTGTAACCAGTTT